AGGCATGTGTGTGTGGATGCTGCAGTTTATCCCTTAGGGCAAGATCTGCCTCAAATTAGCTTTGTCGCCCTGGGAGACAGAGAGGGTGAGATGAAAAGCAAGTGAGGCAGTAAGGAACAAGTATGTGAGTGTGTGTTTGTCTGTGGATGAGAACCTGAAGAACAAGAGGCCAGGGGGTCAGGAAACTAACTCAGAACAGATTTCTTTCTGAAAATGTTCTCTGAAACACACTACCCAATATATGAATGAACCATGTTGCATTTACACATCCACCACTGTGAGGAAGAAGATGAGAGCAAAACAGTGAATGAGCAAACTAGGAACCAATCATAAAGGAACAAACATTAGCAACCCACCCACAAATATGTAGCACCTAATTTCTGCAGCAAAACAATTAAAAGACATTCTTATTATATAATGAGAACCACCCCTCTGGCAATGGCTGGCTGTCCATTTTTAATGGGGCCGTAATGATGCGTCAGCTGAAGACCAAAAGGTCATTGGGGTGGGGCTCAAATCTACTGAGAGGCAGTAGGAGGGATGAGAGAACAATGATATCACAGGTAAAAAACGCACAAGCAAGATTGGTGATGTCAATTAAATTTAACTCTGCAAGCATTGCATAGATGACAGACATGACATGTTTAACATCAGTTGTTATTTGTAGAATTATCATGATTAGAAAACACAGATTAGACATGTAAATATGAAAGGAATGAATTGGCAGAGTCACTCAGCAAGGGAGCCAAAAGTATTCAGTGAACATATATACAGTACATATGCTCAAACTGACAAATTTGCCCCCATTCAGCAGCAGCTTTGGTGATGAATCTTGAATAAGCAGGCAGAATGTTTTGAATCCAATGTCTCCATCTTTATAAAGTCATAAATGGCCAGCTGGATTTAGCTGGTGGTACATCTAGAGGGACAAGTCCTCAGACTACAGATATAAACCTTGGCGCCATGCCCCACACACGCACGTATGCACACACAAATTAACACCTCGTGCCAGCTTTGGCCCTGATCCCCATAGCCTCTGAGACCTAATGAGTGAGATCAGGTGGAAGGCCCCAGTCTGTGTTAGTGTTGCTACTTGTGTGTGTATACAGCTGGTAGTGTGTGTGTCTTTTAACTCTTCTCAAAGCTCAGCGATCTTGATTGCCGGCATCCACTCTCATTGGCCTGCACACAGGTAAACTACTGTATTACTTAAATGTGTGAGGAAGAACATAATCATATCAACTAAAACAAGTTAGTTTATTTTCCTGATAATTCCTTTAGATATGCGAATAAGCAGAAAAAATAAAGAAGAGATATGTTTATAAATGGACAAAAGGGGAAGTAAAAGGTGAGTAATATTCAAAAATGACTAGAGAGGTGTTATTTCCATGATGGATAGATGGAAGGAGGCAAGAGTTGAGGAAAAACAAAAGACAGGAGCGCTAGACAACTGGTGGCATCTGGTGTTCCCCCCATGGGAGACTTGTATCTAAATCTGGCTCTGTAGTGTCTCTCCTGCATGAGTGTGTGTGATTGTGCAACTGGCATCTGGTTGCATCCCTGCTAGAAAGAAGCGATAATGGAAATGGAGTGACGAGAGATGAGCCTAAGTGGTCCGCTCTCTTTCAGAAACACTTTCATTTTGAGGAGAGGAGAATGGAGGTATTTTAGCAGGCAAAACTGCAACCAAAAACACTCTCACACAATGAATAGACAGAGAAGCATCAAGATGGGCTGTTTTTGAATGTCTTCTACCCCAATCACAACGTCGTCCATCTGCTTTGCATTTCACTGGCATTGGAAAATTCACTACTTTCTAATACATCTGATAGTGTAGCTTATACAATTAGATTTGATCTCCATAGCATTATTGTCTCAACTCTAAGACACCATATACGCCGGCAACATATGTGTCACTAATACAAAAATGACACAATGCGACTCAAATGTTGCAGCATGGACCCAATAATAACATAGAGCTCTGTCTACATTGATGAAAATGTGCTCACCTCAGCATGCTGAAAGCTTGGAGTGGCTCCATCTGGCAGCATTGCAACGAACCTTCTAAGTAATTTAGCTAATAATTATTAAACTATTTGGGCCCTCATAGACTTAGGAAAGGGCACAGAATTTCAATCAGGCGATAAAGTGTGGTAAAATAGAGAGAAACAGTAACTTTAGGCAAGTAACATACACTACAGTGATGTAGTAGAACCCTGTGAATTTTACAGCCTTCATCCCAATACATTACACAAAACACAGGTGCATCGTAAGCAACACATACTGCATAGATGTGACAGTATTTGATGTTTTACAACTTGCGGAACGTTTCTTAAAATTTAGACCCATGTAAAATATGATTTCAGATAGACCAACAGCATATTGAGTATAGTCCTATGTAGGTAGTTTCCAGGAAGTATTGCCTCAGATACTTAAATGTGCAGTAGAATATTCAGGAAATAGTTTCAATGTGTTATGTGAGCAACAACCAGAAAAGCAAACTTTACTCGATCTCACTCACACAGTTACAAATTCACACTCCAGTGACAGCCACCTGCCCACTGCCTTAGGCACGACTATTCAGAACTGTTCTGGTCTAAACAAACATCACTGCATGACACCACACACATTCTCCTCTCAACTTCTATTATGCCTTCTGTATTTTATCTCTTGCCTTGGATTACAGTCTGACACACACAGGGCATTCAAAAAATTTTTGGTGTACATACAATATGTTAGTTTTTAATAGTCTGTGTCTTTCTCTGCATTCCACTTATATCAATTCATGCAATAGATACTTATACACTTTACTTCCTCATTATGTTACTTTGTAAGGTTAAGGCTCAATCAGGTATGTATTTCACCATTTTATACATGCTGGAAAGGCTTACGCTTTGCAAAAAGGATGTGAGTCCCAGCAATGCAAACATGTCTGCAGACTTATGTCCACAGACACGAGTTATACAAGTAACCGATACACACACTAGATTTAAATGGGACTCTTGTCCTGCCCACTGCACTCACCCATCAGTCCATAAAGCCACACAGGAAAAACTGTAATGTTATTACATCCACACTGCAGCTTAACACACATGTACACAGCATCTAACTCTGTGTATAAAACTAGTTTAGGTGGGAGAAAGACTTTAACACAGTTAATGCTCTGAAAGAATATGTGGTCTCTCAATTTTCTTCTGTCTTCTACAATTTGTTTTTTTAGTGTCTACCCACTGCTCATTTTGGCTGTGATCTACCAAAATTCATTTGTTTTACTTGTCCATGTACTCTCCCCTGTGCTCCTTCCCACAACTCTCACTCTTATTTATCCCCCAATTCTCTCATCATCTTCATTGACCATCTAAAATCAATCTGTTTTCTGTTTTTTCTTCTATCCTCTTCTGTCCTTTCCTCTCCCCTCTGCCTTTCTCCTACATGTGCATTCAGGTGTCAAAGGCATTTCGCTTGCAATCCTTCATCTGTTCACAAACACACACACATATGCTGACACAGAGTGACGCCAGCACAGCATAAAAAAAAAAAAATCTATCCTGATGTGATCAGTGGAGATCAGGCTATTGACAGACAGCAATATTCCCACGATAGAAATCATTCACCTTCATCACTGTCACAGTGTTTGTGGATGCACTTTGGTGGATGTGCATGCATAACTGCATGTATGACAAATAACAATAAATAGTACAATATTGGTAAAAGAACAAAAACGTTTGAAAGCCTGCCAGTAACACCAAAACAAATTTGCAGGTATGTTTTTTCTGTGTGTGAGAATAAGGGGAATGTAAGTTAAAGCATGCTAAAGTGTGCTATTACTTGAAGTTGTCTTCTTTTGACATCACTGTGTTTTTCTTTACACTGTTTTGGCCTCTTTTTGTCTCCATCTACAGTGTCATCTAAAGTAATTATTAGAATACATTTATTTGAAATTTTCACGTTTTGTCACTTCAAAACCACAAACTACAAAGTACAAAAAAGGGAAGTACAAACATACAATATTACATAACTTTACATAATCTAATGCATTTGGTATGCACTTTTATTTAACCCTCCTGAATCAATACTCTGTAGACTCACCTTTCACTGCAATTACTTCTGCAAGTCTTTTTGGGTATGTCAATACCAGCTTTACATGTATAGAGGATTAGGTTTTTCCTTCTTTGCTAAAAAGCTACAATTCAGTCAAACTAGATGGAGAGGTTCTGTTAATAGCAAATGTTCAAGTGTGACCACAAATTCTCAGTTGTATTTAGGTCTGGGCTTTGACTGGGCCATTACAACATGAATATGCATCATTCTAAACTATTGCCTTTTGCAGTTTCTAACAATATTTTTTCTAGAGCCCCACCCATCTTAACATTAACTCTGTCCTTATAGAAGAAAAGAATCCCTACAGCATGATGCTGTCTTCACCATGTGTCACAATGGGAATGATGTGTTTAGGGTTATGTGTGGTGTAACTTTTTTGTCACACATAGCATTTTGCATGTATGCCAAAAGGTTTCACTTTGGTCTCATTTGAGAAGAACACATTCTTCTACATGTTTTCTATGTCCCCTGCATGGCTTCAAGCAAACTGCAAAGGGAAATACATATGAAAAAAAAAATCTAATATTTTCTTCTTAAACTAATAATTATCCAGTCAAGTACACACAAGTGGACTCTATTTAGTAATAAAACAAATTGTAAAGACAATTGTTTGCACTGGATTTTATATAGGAGTTTCAGATTAAAAGGGGCAAATACATGTATTCACACCACACTTTTCCAGATTTTTAAATGTAAGAAAAGAAAACAATGTAACTTTTTCTTTACTTCATAGTTATGTGCTGTTTTGGATAGGTCTGACACAATAAATCCCAAATAAAACACAATGAAAGTTGTGGATGTAATGTGACAGAATGTGAAAAAGTTCAAGGTGTATGTGTACTTATGCAAGACACTGTGAATATGTACTGTATTCTTTTGATATTTTACCACTTTTGGTGGGCTGAACGGTGGCGCAGTTGGTAGCACTGTTGCCTTCCAGCAAGAAGGTCAAGAAGGTCCTGGGTTCGATTCCCAGCTGGGGGTCTTTCTGCATGGAGTTTGCATATTCTCCCGTGCATGCGTGGGTTCTCACCGGGTACTCCGGTTTCCTCCCACAGTCCAAAGACATGCCTGTTAGGTTAACTGGTCACTCTAAATTGCCCTTAGGTGTATGAATGAGTGTGTGCATGGTTGTTTGTGTGTTGCCCTGCGATGGACTGGCGACCTGTCCAGGGTGTACCCTGCCTCTCACCCATAGACTGCTGGAGATAGGCACCAGCTCCCATGTGACCCACTATGGAATAAGCGGTAGAAAATGCCTGACTGACCACTTTTGGTTTTCTCTTTTGTACAATTTCTTTTCTCATTTTGCATGTTTCACAAGAGGTCATTTTTATTTATTTTGTGGTTTTTTTCTGTCCTAGCATGCCTTTTCTATTTCCTTTTATATGTTTCATTATTACTAATTTTCACATTTACTCCCCCACGCTTCTCTTTTCTCTTGTCTTTTTTTCCCTCTCATCTCATCCCCTTTTCCTCCTCCCTTGACCATTCTTTATGGTTTGAAGGTTCATTTGTTAAGAGGAGGTAACACACTCTCCTAGGGCTTCCTCCTGTCTCTTTTTTGTGAGCTTTGGAAATATAATTTTCAATTTTTAATTTGATTCATTTAGATTTGACCATTAATCAGTGCTGAGGGAGAGTTAATTTGGTGGAAAATGGATGAGGTAGTTAGAAGGGACTTTTTATGAAGTGAATTCAGGGTCTTTTAGGTGTATGAGAAAGAAGAATTGGAAGTGGGAAGCAATTTCAAGATCATCTGAGTTTATATTTGGGTTTTGTGCTGAAAGACTGACCCTTTATTAGAGCTGTATGTTGAATTCAGAAAATATTATAACTAAAAACCTCCTCATCTGCTTTATAAGGCCAACATTAATTTACAGCATAGGGCAAATAAAGTATCTTCTATAAACCTTAAATACATTTTAATACAACAACAAATTTAGTACCCTGAAAATGACAGTGTATGATATTCCAACAACATCATTGCAGAATGTAAACCTATGGATATTTTATTTAAAGCACTATTAGACATTGCTGATTGAAAAGACACAAATCTGCTCAGCAGGAGAGTTGTTTGTGCCATTTCCCCATCTGAATTAGTCATATATCTATTGTATTAAAAGATCAACCAGCTATTGAACTTGACATTTTACTACAAACTGAAATATTGGAATAAGAGTCCTGGTTAATTTAATTATTGTTTATTCCAATATACAGTTTTATTTAAATATATTCTTACAATAAAGGTGCCAGTTATGAGAGTCATCAGGATCTATTAATAAATAAATACATCCATTTACCATATTTCTCCTACTTTAGCTTCCCTTCATTGGCTCCCTGTTAAATCCAGAATAGAATTTAAAATTCTCCTCCTCACATATAAAGCCCTTAATGATC